CAAAAAAACCCCAAATAATCAGCATCATAAAACATTTTATAGGATATTTTTCCCTTTTTTTAACATTTTTTTACTGTTGTTCATATGCATTGTGTTTCATGCATATACATTGTGTTTTACACAATCTTTCCTTTATATTGTATTTATTTCATGTACATTGTGAGTTTTTCCTGAATCCTTTTACTAACTATATTCATAAAGGCATGTAAGTCAGCTATTTCATGCTTTATTCCCTATATCTCTCTTATAGATAGCCAATTGCTGATTTATAGGATATTTTAATTATACTTGATGTTTTCCTCATTAGATCTATAAATGACATGAAGGTTATTATTGTAATGGTTCATTTTTTTAATATCAAATACTAGGAAATAGTAATACATTTGCCTTCCTTCAAAATTGTAAAAGACCAAGCTTCCCCACTTTTGTTTTTTAAATTATCTTCTTTACAAAATTTGTATGCCTTGTTTTTCACACTATTCTTCACATTGTGTTTCATACACTCATCCTCATGCATTATGTTTTATAAAATTAATCACTATTAGACCTTGCCCATCATTACCTTGTCTTTTCACCTGGATCCTTCCCATTTCCTTCCCTCTGCCCCCATAAACTGTGCAGCCATTCTACTTATAATTTGAATAGCTTCTCAATAAATAGTTAAGAGAAGGGAAAGGCAACAAATAATCAGGAGTTGATTAGACATTATAATAAATTAATCACATTGATTGGTGGTAGTTTATTTTATGAAGCAGAGTTTATTAATAGTTGTATGAAAAAATCAATATGATTTATAAACCATTCAAATAAAAAAACCAAAAAATGTATTTATTCGTTGGAGAGGGTATTCACAGCAAAACATAAACCAACTCAGCAATTTTCAAATGTACAATTTAGTGACACTAGTGACACTGCCATTCTTCTCCTCCTCCTTTTCTAAATTGTTTCTTCCTTGTTAATGTAAATTCACTGCCCCCCTAAGGCTCCTATCTCATCTTTCAAGTTGTTCATTTGATCTCAAATAGATGTTGTTGTAATGTGCTGTCGAGTTGCTTGCGATTTATAGCGACCCTCTATGTACAACAGCCCTAAACCCTGCTTTGTCCTGTGCCAATCGCACTGTCTCTGATACACGCATCCTGATTACCTCAGTCACTGAATCAATCCACCTCATAGAGGGTCTTCCCCTCCTGCACTGTCCCTCCGCCCTCCCAAGCATGATGTCCCTCTCCAAGGACTGGTCCCTCCTTACAACATGTCCAAAATATGTCAGACGAAGCCTCAGAATCCTTGCCTACAAGGAGCAGCCCGGTTTAACCCTCTCGAGGGAGAATCTGTTTGTTTTCTTAGCAGTCCATGGTACATTCAATACTCTTCTCCAGTACCACAGCTCAAAGGCATCAATTTTCCTTCTATCCTCCCTAGTCATTGTCCAACTCCCTGATGCATAACAAGTGATTGCAAAGACCATGGCCTGTATCAGGTGCACCTTAGTCTCCAGAGAGACACCGTTGCTCCTGAGTACTTTAGAGAGGTCCCTAACAGCAGACTTTCCCATCGCAATACACTTTTTGATTTCCTGACTACTGGTGCCAAGAGTGTTGACTGTGGAGCCAAGCAAACTAAAGCTGTGAAAAATCTCAATCTCTTCACCATCCATCCTGATGCTGCCAATTGGTCCAGTGGTGAGAATCTTTGTCTTCTTAACCTTGAGCCTCAATCCATTTTGAAGGCTGCAGTCCTTGACCCTCTGCAGCAAGCGCTTCAGGTCCTCCTCAGTTACAGCAAGCAGGGTTGTGTCATAACGCGGAATGTTGATGGATCTTCCACCAATCCTGATGCCACATTTCTCATCATAGAACCTAGTCTCTTGGAGATGACCTCAAATAGATAGCTCTTTTAAAAAAAATTTTTTTTATTGTATTATTTTTACGTGTACCGTCAAATCAGATTTGACTGGTACAGGAGGAGATTGCTCCCTTTCTCCAGCAGAGCATCTGGTGGATTTGAACCGCATACCTCTGGGATTGCAGTACAGCATGTTGCCACTAGGCCACCAGAGCTCCCTAAATAGATAGCTCTTAAAATATCATACTGCTAATGGTTGATCTTTTCTATTAGTTAAGCAAACGAAGTATTAAGGAACACTGTTGGCCTTGTACTAAGAAGGGGAGGAGAGGCAGTCGTCTCATTTATGTGATTAACTGCTTCTGAAAACTCGCTGGAGGGTCAGCTGTGTGTTGGTTCTAACTTGATGGCACACAACAGCAATAATGAAGTAATATTCTGCTTTAAGAACTCTTCAGAGTATATTTGGCTCTTCCACACTTGTATTCTTAATAAGAGACTATTTTCATCTTGTGTTTTCTAAAAGCCACCTCTTACCTCAGCATGTGTGAATTACTTTGTATTCTGAGTTAGTGGCATCCAAACGAATGGATAGAATGGGCTAATGCACTTCAGATCCTCATTGCTTTCCTTCCTTTGGAATTTTTTTTTTTTTTATGATTGGCTGAGTATTGGCTTCACTCTGCCCCATCCTCCCTTTCAGTTTGCAGGCTTCTGGCTGTACTGTATGGAGGCCAGCTTTCATCTCTCCCCTTCTCTCCATAACAGAGTTTTATGGGAGAGGAGCCCCCTACAATGCCTTGACTGGGAAAGACTCCACCAGAGGGGTGGCCAAGATGTCCCTCGACCCTGCAGACCTCACTCATGACACGGTGAGCCAAATTAGAAGCCTCTGTCAATAAGCCCCACTCCACTCAGCCCTGGTCTGCTTTACCTCTGGGCCTTAGCCGAGCTTTGCAATTAGCCTGTTTCTGACCCAGTCCACTCAGTGGGTAGCCAACCATTTTTTTTAAAATACAAATTTTGCTATGCCATTCCTACTCAGAAGCCTTCCATGACACACCATTGCCTACAGCATCAACCCCAATCACTTGTGAACTTGTGGTCCAACTTGGTGATCTATACAGTCTGCTACCAACCTGATCCCCTTGCAGCCCCTCCTGCAGCAACAAGGAATGGAGCTGCCCTCCTTTCGGCCCCGTCTCTTGCTGGCTTCTTGATGGCTTGAGACCCATTCTCCAACTCAATGGAGCATTTAGGTTGTCAAAGCAAGTTCTCCCCCTGTGCATGCTCGCGTGCCTGCAAGGGAAAAACAGTATCAGATGAAGCCGTTTCAGGGTCTGACCAGTTCCTGCAAAAGGGCTGTGTGCACTTCAGCTGTGCTCCGCGCCACTAGACAGAACTGAGTCAACTGTTAAAACACAGCATGACAGAGGGAACGAGGAGAAGAGGGTGTCTGAGTTTGAAATGGGAAACATGTACAGAGCAGGAGGGATGAGGAAGGAAGGATGGGCTGGACATGGGCTGCAGCAGAGTACCGCCTCCCGTGGCTGTTTCTCTGAGTGCCTGCAAGACTCCTGTCACCTGACTTGATAGGGTGATTATAGCCCCTCCCGTCCCGTATGAGGCCTGGTTCTTAAAAATTCAATTGCTCATTTCCTGCTTTGCCGAAATATTTTCTTGCTTTTGCATCCAGGATGTGAGGTGGGCAAGATGGGAACGGAGGGAAGCCAGTACTGTCCACAGGGCACTCACCCTTCCACCCTGTATTTCTCCGACTTTCTCCTCTAGACGGGGCTCACGACCAAGGAGCTGGCATCCCTGGATGACATCTTCACGCGGGTGTACAAGGCCAAATACCCCATCATCGGCTACACAGCCCGCAGGATTCTTAATGAGGATGGCAGCCCCAACTTGGACTTCAAGCCTGAAGACCAGCCCCATTTCGACATAAAGGATGAGTTCTGAGTCCCATCTGCAGGCTCAGGGTCTTGGGAGGGTGGGGCAGGGAGGAAGCCAGCAAAATCTTCTTCCTGAAACTTCTGCGTTCCCGAGATTTAAATAAAACAGGTGTTGGACCTGGAACTGTGACTGTCTTTGACTGCCATAGTCAGGTTTTCTCTCCACCTAGTAACCTGCCTGCATACCAGTGAGCTTGGTAGTGATAACTCCCTGCTGGCTGGAAAGGGAGTTCTCCCAAATTTCAACGTGGTAAACGATATGGTCGAATGATGAGTAACTTACTGCTTTATAATTTTTTTGTGTTTTCTAGATTTTCTACTGTGGTTGTGTTTACTGTTGTTGTTGTTGTTATGTGCCATCAAGTCATTTGCGACTCATAGCGACCTTATGCACAACAGCCCTAAACCCTGCTCTATCCTGCGTCAACCACCCTGCCTCTGACACACCCATCCCGATTACCCCAGTCACCGAACCAATCCATCTCATAGAGGGTCTTCCCCTCCTGCGCTGTCCCTCCACGCCCCCAAGCATGATGTCCCTCTCCAAGGACCCGCCCCACCTGGCAACATGTCCAAAGCATGTCAGATGAAGCCCCAGAATCCTTGCCTCCAAGGAGTTGCTTGGTTTAATCCTCTCCAAGATGAATCTGTTTGTTTTCCTGGTAATCCATGGTACATTTAGTACTCTTCTCCAGCACCACAGCTCAAAGGCATCAACTCTCCTTCTGTCCTCCCTAGTCATTGTCCAACTCTCTGATGCATAACAAGCGATTGCAAAGACCATGGCCTGTATCAGGGGCACCCTAGTCTCCAGAGAGACACCGTTGCTCTTGAGTACTTTAGAGAGGTCCCTAACAGCAGACTTTCCCATCGCGATACACTTTTTGATTTCCTGACTGCTGGTGCCAAGAGTGTTGACTGTGGAGCCGAGCAAACTGAAGCTGTGAACAGTCTCAATCCCTTCACCATCCATCCTGATGCTACCAATTGGTTCAGTGGTGAGAATCTTTGTCTTCTTGACATTGAGCCTCAGTCCATACTGAAGGCTGCAGTCCTTGACCCTCTGCAGCAAGTGCATGAGGTCCTCCTCAGTTTCAGCAAGCAGGGTTGTGCCATCTGCATAACGCAGATTATTGATCGATCTTCCACCAATCCTAATGCCACGCTTCTCCTCATAGAGCCCAGCCTCTCGGATAATCTGCTCTGCATACAGGTTGAAAAGGTATGGAGACAGGATGCATCCCTGGTGTACACCCTTCCCAATTTTGAACCATGCAGTGTTACCTTGCTCTGTTCTGATGACTCCCTCTTGGTCCAAGTATAGGTTTCACATTAGCACAATTAAATGTTCTGGGATTCCCATTCTTCTCAGAGTCAGCCACAGTTTGTTATGATCCACACAGTCAAATGCCTTTGCATAATCAATGAAACACAGATAGACATTCTTCTGGTATTCTCTGCTTTCAGCTAAGATCCATCTAACATCAGCAACAACATCCCTAGTACCATGACCCCTTCTAAACCCAGCCTGGACTTCCGACAATTCTCTGCTGATGTGCTGTTCTAGTCGTTTCTGGATAATCTTCAGTAGAATCTTGCTTGCATGTGAAATCAATGACACTGTTCTGTAGTTTCCACACTTAGTTCGGTCACCCTTCTTTGGAATGGGAACTGTACAAAAACCAAAATAAGCTGTCAAAATGTTATTTATGCTTTTCTGTACTTCTCAGGTTTTGTGAAGCCACTCAGTGTTGTGTGTTGGATCTTTGTGATTGAATGCTTTGAAGGCGCACCTCTGCTTTCATTCAGACTTGTCTCCACCTCCTTTATCCTCCTGACTTTTGGAGGAACTAAGGTGGGTAGGACTTGTCTATGGTGACACTCTCCCTCCTTTCTGTTGTACCAAGCAGTTCTTAGGCAGTGGGGCACTGCGAGAGCCCCATTCTTACTTGTTAGTGTACCTCAGGTGAACTCTGGGCTCAAGTCCACCAGACTTGGTGCATAACTTCCAGGGCCAGTATGGAAGGCACTGTTCGAAGTTATCACCATCCTCTTCGCTTTACTCAGGAAGAGACTGCAAATACTGATCTGGGTCATAGACACAGCTGTGATTATGTGTATATGTGTGTGCATTTTGTATAAGGCTGGACCAGACTTCACAGGGCCGGTTCATCCCCTCAGCCCACATGCATACTACACCTGTCCCAGGTGCTACATTGCATGGTGGGGTGCAGCCATGAGTATCCAGCTGGCTTTTTTAGGAAGCTTACTCTGTTGGGGAGGCTACAGAGACAGTTAGAACAACATGGGTTTGGTGCTGTGTTAGCCCATACACGGAACAAGGGAACTTACAGAGGAAGGGCCCAGAGCCTTAGCATCCAGTACAGACATTTAACAGGGGTGACCTGAAAGTCCTGCATCCTGGGAAAGCCCTCACCCCAGGGAGCTCTGTCCCAGAGCTACCTTTAGCTGAAGGACCCAGCCCAGGCACTGCCTCTGAATGAAGAATAAAGAAAGGAAATAAGGAGAAGATAGGGTGATGGGAGGGCAGAAAGGGATTGGGTCCTTAGTCACTCACCGTACAGGTTCAGGTTCAACAGCTCAGGTGGCAACTCAGTGTCCGGCCGATAGCTGGTGGTCAGTGCATTGGAGCTGCTGTGATCTGTGAAGTTCCTCTCCAAAGTTCCTCTTGCTAAGAAGCAGCCCCTCCCACACTCCATCTTCAGGGAATCAGTACTCCCTGCTTAACATTTCTGGAGCCCAGAATGCTGAACCCCCCTCAGTGTTCAGAGCTCTGGGCCTTTGCCCCGTTGCAGATGGCATATTTCTACAACTCCTTTGCCACAGAGGGAAGAGGCTGAAAGAAAGATGGCTAGGCCTGCCTGTTAGAAACATTAAGAAGTCTTTCACACAGGGCCACTGACTAGTGAACATCTCAGAGGGGTGGTGGGCGCTGTGGACGACGGACTGACAGGCTTCTGCTGAAGCAGGGCAGTGGGGCCTGATGAAACACGTAGGTCCCTTGAGCTTATACTTGCCCAACGTGCAGATCTTATTTTGCCCTAGTTCCTGTCTTCTACTCTGCAGATTAGACACTTGTGCTGGAGGTTTCCTTGCCACATCACTGGCTTTTAAGTACTAAAAGTTTGATAAAAGACTCCCTGGCCTCAACATTAAAATCAGAACTGTAGCTGTTGAATTACCCTCAATTCATGGTGATCTTATGTGTATTAGAGTAAAACCATGCATGCTCGATAAAATTCTCAGTGTTGGTTCTTTCAGAAGTGCATGGCCTGGCTTTTCTTCTCACACCTTCTCTGGGTGGATTCCAACCTCCAAATTTTTAGTTACCAGTTGAGCATGTTAACTGTTTGCTCCACGCAGGGACTCCAGCCTCCACATTGCCTTTAAAAGACTGGTTTTCAACCTCAACTTCTAACACACATGGCTCTTAGGGCACCTCCAGCCTCCTGAGAGGTTTCCATAGAGGCTGATGCCTGAACCAGGCTTAGAGCAGAGTCCCAATGGGTGGTGAATGTCCTGATCCATCCCCTCCAAGCTAATTCCCTTGCCATCCAGGAAGAAGTTCCTCCTGCAGCCTCTGTCCACTTGATACCAGGTAGTTACTGCCTGGAGAATTGCCTAATGCTGCATTGTGCCATTCATTCATCTTTTATGCTCTATTTCACAGCCTCTCAGCCTACCAAACACTCATCTCTCAGTTTAGCCAGGTTTTTCTAGCTAACTAGACTAGTAATTAGATAGCTAGACAGAGAGATAGACAGATTAGGGGGCTGGCAAGTCCAAACTCCATAGATCAGGAAAAAAAGCTGCAGGGTCCTACAGGTTTGCATCCCAAGATCTGTAGATCAGGCAATGGAAAGAGTGCAAAGTTGAGAAGGAGTTTGTGCTCCTAAAACACCTATTTATAGTCAGATGGCAGACTAAACTCTTAAGAAACCCTACTTCCAACTAATTGATTGAAAGTAATAACATTAGATTATGCAGAATGATTACATTTTACTGTACTCTGTGACATTATAGAATAGCAGCTAGTCTAGCATTTGACCAAACCACGAGCAGCAATAGCTTAACCAATTTGGCACTTGAAGTTAACTGTCACAGTGCTCAATATGGTTTTATTCCCTGGGGCTTCTCTGCACGGAAACTTTCTGCCAGGCTATTCTGACTGCTCACCAGCGTGCTTGACTTTCAGAAGGCTGGTGGTGTGGTGGCTGTTACACCTGAAAAGTCAGAGGTTTAAACCCCAAAAAAGATTTGCTGTGACTAGGAAGTTGACTCAGTACCATTGAGTTTGGATATTTTGATGTTTAACTCTAGATGATAAGAGACCTGGAGCTAAACAAATGATACATACTCTAAGATTCTGTGGTGGTCAGCTCAAGGACACATGTCATGTTGGCCAAATCTCCCTCCCACCTTCATTCTTTCTATCCTAACCTTGGTTTCATGGATCATACTCCACATATGTGCACCTGCATGTGAACCCTTTGCCTTGGCTCTGTTTCAGGGGAGAACCCAGACTCAAAAGGCAGCTTTGTTTCCTCATATACCAACACAATCCCCTTATACTGAACTCACATTTACTAAGAATATCTTGCATCTGTATTATACTTGTTGTTGTTATGTGCTGTCGAGTCATTTGTGACTCATAGTGACCCTATGTACAACAGCCCTAAACCGTGCTCTATCCTGTGCTAGTCGCATTGCCTCTGACACACCCATCCTGATTACCCCAGTCACTGAATCAATCCACCTCATAGAGGGTCTTCCCCTCCTGCGCTGTCCCTCCACCCTACCCAGCATGATGTCTCTCTCCAAAGACCTGTCTCTCCTTACAACATGTCCAAAGTATGTCAGACGAAGCCCCAGAATCCTTGCCTCCAAGGAGTAGCCTGGTTTAACCCTCTCTAGGATGAATCTATTTGTTTTCTTGGCAGTCCAAGGTACATTCAATACTCTTCTCCAGCACCACAGCTCAAAGGC